AAAATCACTGTTATCTGTAAAAGGAAAACCATTAAAATCTGTTGCAACTACTAAAACTAACAAGTGACTAGTCAAGCTGTTAGCTTTTAATCATTAAAATAGATTCACCACAAGTGGACATGTTAATAATAATATATTTAAAAGAAATTCTCTAGTAAGTAAATTTAAAGTATTGCAAAATTACCACAAAGTCTTCAGGGCCACATACTGCTGAGACTTCACTTGAAATGAATTAAATCAAATTTGGTTAAACCCTTCAAAGGTTTCTTACTCAGAGGTTATCCCACATGACTAAGGATTCTGTCTCAACCTGCACAAACTTCATTCAATCCACAGTGATTACTGACACTGACTTCCTATGGCTCAACAACCAACCATGGGAAAACTAAATCCGGTTCAGAAAAAAAGGATAACTAATATTTATTATTTTCTTCATGCTGTGAAAAGGAATATCATGTTTCCTCTCAGAGTACACCCCTGAACTTTTAGAAGTTTAACCATATGAAAGAAATCTAAAAGAGTATGTGAAAAGGCTAAAGATTTGGAATTCTAATTCAATTTCCTCTCACACTTTAATAAGAGCCTGTAGCAAACATTTATTTTTAGAAACATTTTTGGTATGGTACTGAACAAAAGGCTATTGTGTATTAAACATAGTAAGGTCTCTCTGGTCCCATCTATACCAACTTTACAAACATCAGGTTGGAATTAAATGATTTTAAACTTTAAATCAACGATTTCCAGACCACAAAACCTATTCCATACTTATCAGTACATATTAAGTTCTTTAAGTGAGTTATAGCTGAGTTAGAATGTGAAATCTGCATTTTCAGGTGCCAATAAAAGAACTTTCTTTTAGACTTTGGATACATAATGCCGAATTGTCCAAGAATGCCATATAATGTTTTCATTTCCTTTTCCAACAAAAATTTTTTCATCTGCACTTGATGAATTTCCTGACTATATCATTCCTAATGAAAAACATATGGGTATCAATCATATTACTCTACTATTTTCTTATTAAATAGGAATTGTGACTTTTTCTCTAAGTTAACAAAGCAAAAAAGATAGTTCAGAACCACTATGAACATCTCTGTCTTAATTTATGGTATGTGTTCTGCAATGGACCTTCTACAATGCAAAAGGAGGTAAGAAATTATCTATGATTAGTAGTGTGGTGGTTTTAAAACATGTCCACAAATTCTTGGACATGTTTCCCATCAAAAGGTAGAGTTAGTTCCCTCCCTCTCAATATGGGCCAGTCTCAGTGACTCACTTCTAATAAACAGAATGTGGCAGAAGTACAGCTGAAGGCTATAGAGGCTAGGTCATAAAAGGTGACATAGCTTCCTCCTGGCTCCCCCTGATTGGATATTCACCCATAAAACCCAGTCACCATGCTGTAACAAAGCCAAGCAGCCATATGGAAAGGCCTCAATTCCACTCCCAACCAAGGTCCCTGCCAAAAACCAGCATCAATTGCAGACATGTGAGTGAAAGACTCTTCATAAGATTCTAGCCTTCAGAAGCTTTGAGCTATCTCAAAAGATACCATTGGAATAAAGACAAGCTGTCCCTACCAAACTTCAAATTGCAGATGTATGAAAAATAAAAATCATCTTTATTTTAAGCCACTAGATTTTTATTATGCAGCAAAAGTAACTGGAACATGTAGATTATTCTGGCCAAAGTCTACCATCTTATCCTTTCCATTTCAAATTTACCTGAGAAGATAAACCCTTCTGAAACAAACAAACTATGCTGACAGATGGGGTCTCAGTTAACTCACCCTAGCAACCTGCTGGCTTGAATCCCAGCATTCATTACCCTTGACTGCCAGCTAGCCTTCTCTTGGGCTCTTTACTTCTCACCTCTTAACACATACTCCACAGCCTCCTCTTTTATCCTGTCTTAAACTTACTGCTTACTTTGAAAAGCTGCTTTTATTAAACACCCTGGCTTATGAAACTGTTGCTACTGCTAACACATGTTCCACATGTTTAATCAATGAACAAGTGAAATCTGCCTGAAAAAGTTATTCTACGAATCTAAGACTGGAAACTAATTCAAGATGTTTTGATGGAGCCATTCAAATGGGTTATGAGTCCAATCAAATAGCCATATCAAAATATTAGTTCCTCCTTCAAAGAACACCAGAAGAGGGAATATCCTAATTACTGAAATAATTTAAGAAACACAACCCTGAAAAGTTAAATGTTCAGAAGCGACCTTGGAGATAGTATAGGTTAGCATTTGTTTTCAGCCATTGAGATACTGACATAACCCAGGGAAGGTTTTTATGATGTAAGTACTAAGAATTTTTACCTATTCCATTCTCGCTGGGATGTCAACCTGCCATAATATAATGGCAATTTTAAAGTTCAATTTTGTTAGTATTTCATAAAGTTCTGTTAGTATTTTATAGCTTTGGCAATAAAATATGTTCCATGCAATCTTATTTAATGTTTTGTCCTTAAAGTTTAGGATAAATGACATAACAGTTATGATAAATATAATAAACGTATCCCTAGGAATCCATAAATACTCTTCTTAGGAAAAAAATTTAATGTGGCTATTCTACTTCTACCATAAGAAATGTTAGCAGCCATTGCCTTTGTCTGAATCATCTGGGAAAACTGATGTGAGTGACACCCAGCAAGTTTGCATAATTGGTCTGAGGTCATATAACCAGTTCATTGCAAAACTATGACCAGAAGTTTGGTACACTCATACTTTCTTTAGATACATAGGAGGCTCACTAAGGATTGGATTAGTAGAAGGAAAATAATTACCCTATGTTTCAATTCAAAAGGAAAGTCAAAGCCACTAGCTGGGTTTTAACTCCTTCAATGTTACACTCACAGTCCTTCTATTGGACTATCTTTCTTATTAATGTAAAGAAACAAAATAATGGAAGGGCCTAAGGTGACCATAGGGGGAATGTGGCTGACAGTGTGGACTGGCTATCTGAAAGCCGTCTACACCCCCAACATTCCTTATATTAACTACCAAGGGTATAAGGGTCAAACACTCAATCTTGGCCCTCCCTTACAGTTACTAGAGGTGACAATATGCAAAATTACAAAAATGAGAATATATATAGAAGTCCTATAGAGGGTATTTCTTCTCAAATAAAAACATTAATCCTGTGGCAGGGTCTGGACCCTTGTGCCCTCTTCTCCTGAAGAGTATGGATATGACTGTTGGAGACACAAGACCCATCTTATTTCCATGGGTATAAAAGCCATGTGCTGAGGTTTGTAACAGGCAGAGAGAAGGAACCTGGCTCTCCAATTACACAGGTCAGCCATCACAGTGGCCCTGCACTGTCTATCCTTGGGCTTCCTATTGAGTGAATTTTAAGACTATACATTCATTTTGTAGTTACCTGTAGCTAAATACAATCCCAAGTCTTACAGGATAAAACCTGGCTTTTCGTTCTCAACCCACTTTGTTCCCAAGTGGTTTGTCCATCTGGCTTAGTCTTATACCGGTGAATTTGGGAAACAAATGTTTAGGCACCTTCAACTTCACCTTAGCTCATGCCACAACCCCATAGTTTCTTAAAAGATAAATAAGAGAGTGAGGTATATAACTATTGTCTCTAAGAAGAAATGAACAAGATGGTAGTCGGTCTCCCTGTAGCAGATGGCAGAGCCAATGCTGCCTGGAGTGATGTCAGAGAAATGGTTTCTATCCTTGTAGTGTAACACTTAACCTCAATCCTGGACAGAATCTAGATAACCAAAAACCAGAAAGAAAAAAATTATGCCATATTCCTAACCTCGACTTGGGAAAAAACATAAATCCAGTACCTTAATTAGAGGAGATACAACAAAAATTATCCACTTGACAGAGTTTCTTTTATTTCACTTGAGCATCATGTTGGAGATTCTCCATGTCATGTTCCATGTAAGTCAGAAACAAAGGGTACTGAGTCTAAGCAATACAATAATTCTCAGGAATGCTTGTGAACAGAATCAGGGTACTTTCTATTCTTCTTTCACTGTTCCTTCTGATAAAGTTAGCTGTGTCAGGTCATAGTTTTACCAATTGTAAAGTTCAGTGGTATTTTCCAAAGAGGCAGAAAAGAATAGGTAACATTGAGAAGCTGGGAATTTTACTAGTTGCATGCCAAAAAATTAATTTAAAAATAAAGAAAAGAATGTTTCTTTACAGGGGAGTGCAAAAATGCTTGGCAAATTTCTTGGATTAAGGTTCACAAAATCCAGACAAACCAGCAGCCATTCTGGACCAATAGCCTAGACCTTCACTCTACAAATTAAAAGAGAATTAGTAATCCAATCCATACCTCTATAGCTGAGGATGACCATAAGGGTTAAGAATATAAAAGTACAATAAGATACAGCATTCCATAGAATGCCCGGGATCCAATGATGATCCAAGAGGAATCTCTTAATCCGAGTCTTTAGAGTTGTGCTACATAGAAAATTCTACATAGGAAGGACTTAAGTCAAGCAAGTAATAAACATAAAGGAAATAAGGAATAATATTTATGGAAAAAACTGATACCTACTAACTACTATAAATAAAGCATTCAATACTCAAGGAGGATAAAAAAAAAAAAAAAACCACTGGGAAAAAAGCAATGAGTTTAAATAGACCTTTATATCAGAACAGTTTTCAAAATTTTGAAATCAAACCTGTAGAACCAGAACTGTCTTAGTTATCTAGACTAACTTTATTGAGTAGAAATTCCCCCTCTTGCACCCAAATAAATGGAACCCTAACTTAGGATACAGACTATTACATGTCTGTTATAGCAAGCAACTGATTCACATGCTGGTTACTCAAATAATATTGTACATGTTTGTTATAGCAAGCCACTGATTCTTAGGCTGGTTACTCAAATGAAACTAAGTTAAAGACACCAGAAAAAAAAGAAAATCAGTTATTTCCTTCAAAAATTTCCCTAAATATTTAGTGACATGTTAAGTAATTTCTCAAAAAGGCGTACATACAAAACAGTTTCCCCCTACCTAGCACATTTCCTGGAGGTACCTCCTCTAGATCTTCCAGTTCCCTGCCCATCAGAAGATACAGGTTTTCCAGTGTACAGCACGCCATGTGAGGGACTGGGGGGAGGTCATCTGGTGGGGCTGAGAAGCCTAATGGTACCTAGGTAAAATTTAAAAAAAAATGATCAAAGATAAGTTAGGAGGCATATGAAGGAATTAACTGGCATCTGTAATTCTTTCTATTCATCAATAAGATATGGCATAGCCACCACAGTCACCTTTCATGTAAACCAAAAACATGCAAATTTGAAATTATATGATAAGAAATGTCCCACTTTATTGCATAAAATTTGAAGTACTAAAACTTCTCCAATATTAAAAAACTGTCCAGATTCCCACTTGATTGTAGGCTTCAAGACTAAGAACATAAATTCTGTTATAACTGGTAGTACATTCTTGCTGCTGGTATTGTGGCGAACCATGTCATGCACTGGTGGTGGTGACTACTCTGCTATTGTTTCAACATCCGTTATGACTACAATAATTTAAATTATTTTAATCTTATGATAATGTTCCTCAAGTATTCAACAAGGGCTGGTGCTAGTGCCTAGTAACACATGAAAACAACTAATGAAAGTATCATAGAAAAAATCTAAACAATTGCCATATCATATGCTGTGTTGTTAATCTTGAAGAGAGCATGCTGTGAAATATTAGGAACACTGATGAAAAGACATAGCACACACACACAGCAAAACTATGCTGCAAGAATAACAGATTTATGAGCTCTCCTATATTATGTTTATTCTTAAAGAGAAACTATTTTAAATGATTCAAGGTTTGAGTTGTGTGAAGTCTTCAGAAATACATCCTCCACATGAATGCAAGCACCTTGGAAGTTTTTAAATCAAAACCCAACACATCTTTGGTATCCACAGGCCCAAGGTTCTTTGCTATTTATAAGAAGTGGGAAAAAAGTCTCAGATACAACATATACAAAGATAACTAACATTACAAGCTTAGAGTGACACAAAAACGTAGTACACAAAAGTAAGTTCATAAAGGCTTAGAGCAAGGAGAGTCTCACGCATTCAGGAACACCTGGAAACTTCATGAAAATGATGTATTTTCCAACATACACTACATCTAAATGTGCAAGTTCTGATACAATCACAACTCAGGTTGGAAAGAAAAAAATATAAGGATTGATAGAAAGCAAGAGAATTATCCACAATTTGTCCATACACTTAAAAACAGATAAATTATAATTAATAAGACAGCACAGAGGCAGAGGCATAAGATCAATAAACAGAAGTTAATACTATTTCCATAGACTGACAGTAGACAGAATAATATACATATTTTAAAACCAGTTAACTTACAGAATAGCAAGAAAATATAAGATAGCTACAAATAAATCTAACAAAGTCACTGAAAATCATGATGAAGAAAACTATAAACTTGAATAAGAAACATTAAAAATGACCTAAATAAACAGATAAGCCTAACATATATGGATGACAAGATGTTACATTACAAATCGATGATTCATGCCAAATGGAATTTACAGTAATTCCAATCAAAGTTTCAGCAGAGCTTTTTGTGGAACCTGAAAGCTCACTATAAACTTCATACAGAGGAGAGGTGAGGAATAAAGAAGATACCTACACACACCAAAAAAAAAAAAAAAAAAAAACAAGGAGAGAGACTTGGCCTTTTAGATGTCACAACATTTAGGAATAAAGAGAGCACTGAAGAGACACAGTTAGAGAAAAACAAAAATTTTTGAAAAGTAAGCAAAAAACCTAATAGTTCAGAAAAAAGACCCATGAATGTGTGAAATTCAATTTATGACAAGTTGAACAAAGCAAATTAGTGACAGAAATGGTCTATTCAATGATGCTGGAACAATTGGTCCTTTGGTAAATAAAGGAAATTGGATTCCTTCATACTGTAAACAAACACTGGATTCAACATTTAAATATGAAAAGTAAAACATTAAATTTTAGAAGGAAACACAGGAGAAAGTTTTGTGGCTTCAATATGGTTCCAATTCCAATTTTATTACACAAGCTACAAAATCAAAACTCATGAAGGCAGTGACTAATAAATCCAACTATACTGAAATTAACAGTTTCTATCCGTTAAAGGATAACAAACAGAAAGAAAGACAGGTCCCAAACTGGAGAAGAAATCTGCAAAACTTAAACTGACAAGAAATTACTATTTAGAATCCACAAAAGTCTTCTAAAACCCAGTGTTTCTCAAAAGCTGCACAGTAGAAAACAGGGAAATGACACTGAGAAACTATGAATGACCAATAAATGTAATTTATAAGCATAATAAGGAAAATGTAAATTAAATCTACTATAAAACACCAGGTCATGGCCATCAGATTGGAAAAAATTAGAAGCCTAACAATATCAAATTTTGGTGAGGATCTGAACAAGTAGAACGTTGAGCCATGCCAGGACACCACTCCATGACTATGTAACTCCTGTTGGGAGTATAAATCAGAACTATTTTGAAAGACAATTTAATCCAGGTACAGTGATACACACCTGTAATCCCTGTGACTGGGGAGGCTGAGGCTCTAAGCAACTTAGCATGACCCTGTCTCAAAATTAAAAATAAAAAGGGATGGGGATGTTGCTCAGTGGTTAAGCACCTCTGGGTTCAATCCCCGGCACGGCCCCACACCTCCCAAAAAAAGGAGAGACAATTTTAAAATTATCTTGTTAGGTCAAAGAATATCTAAGCAATTCCGCTACAGATGTATTCCCTAGAATTTCTTGCAAATATACACAAGAAGGTTATGTTTAAAAATATTCAAGGTATCATTTGTTTACCAAAACAAAAACAAAAACAGCTTAAGCCCAAATATATAGTGATAGGAAAATGGATAAACAAAATATGTACTAAAAAGGCCCAGTGGCCCACGGCGGGACAGAGCTTCCAATCACTCCTGCAAGGTAGGCGGGCCTGCGACCCACGGGCAGAAGAGGAGCAGCGGCCTGCTGAGAGGCAGAGCCGCCCCCTCCCCCTGCACCGGCAAGGTAGAGGGAACTGTGACCACCCACAGAGCAGGCCCAGCGGCCTGCTGAGGGGCAGAGCCGCCCCCCACCCCCCGCGCATGCCAGGTAGGCAGAACTGTGACCACCGACAGAAAAGGCCCAGTGGCCCGCGGCAGGACAGAGCTTCCAATCACTCCTGCAAGGTAGGCGGGCCTGCGACCCACCGGCAGAAGAGGAGCAGCGGCCTGCTGAGAGGCAGAGCCGCCCCCTCCCCCTGCGCCCGCAAGGTAGAGGGAACTGTGACCACCCACAGAGCAGGCCCAGCTGCCTGCTGAGGGGCAGAGCCGCCCCCCACCCCCCGCACCTGCCAGGTAGGCGGAACTGTGACCACCGACAGAAAAGGACCAGTGGCCCGCGGAGGGGCAGAGCTTCCAATCACTCCTGCAAGGTAGGCGGGCCTGCGACCCACCGGCAGAAGAGGAGCAGCGGCCTGCTGAGAGGCAGAGCCGCCCCCTCCCCCTGCACCGGCAAGGTAGAGGGAACTGTGACCACCCACAGAACAGGCCCAGCGGCCTGCTGAGGGGAAGAGCCGCCCCCCACCCACAGCGCCTGGCAGGTAGGCGGAACTGTGACCACTGACAGAAAAGGCCCAGTGGCCCGCGGAGGGGCAGAGCTTCCAATCACTCCTGCAAGGTAGGCGGGCCTGCGACCCACCGGCAGAAGAGGAGCAGCGGCCTGCTGAGAGGCAGATCCGCCCCCTCCCCCCCGCGCCTGCAAGGTAGACGGAACTGTGACCACCATCAGAACAGGCCAGACCTGCAACCGACAGACAGAATAGGCCCAGTGGCCTGAGGAAGGGTAGAGCCGCCCCCCCCCCCCCCGCCTGCAAGGTAGGCGGACCTGCGACCCACTGGCAGTACAGCCCCAGAGGCCTGCAGAGGGGCAGTGCCGCTGCCTGCGCCTGCAAAGTAGACAGAACTGCGACCACCGACAGAACAAGCCTAGCGGCCCGCAGAGGGACAGAGCCGCCGCCCGCGCCTGCAAGGTCGGCGGACCTGCTACCGACCGGCAGAGCAGGCCCAGCGGCCTGCCGGCGTGGTAGGCACATTGCCCCAATTGGAGGAGGGGCAGAGCCGCCGCCCGTGCCTGCGAGGGAGACTTTGCAACTATACAAGACCAATATAAATATATAGGGGGAAAATTCAATAGCACAACAGTTTCACCAAGTAGAAAGGAACGCGAACAGTATGAAGAGACAAGGAAAGAAAGGACCACAAGCATTGCAGGTCAACTCAACGTTAGAAGAGGTAATAGCTGCAGCAGATGGAATGTCAGATAAAGAATTCAGGATATACATGCTTCAGATGATCTGGAGTCTCAAGGAAGACATCAGACAGCAAAATCAGACAATGAAAGATCACTTCAACAATGAATTACATAAACAAATCCAAGAAGCAAAAGATCAACTATACGGGGAAATAGAGGTTATAAAAAACAAACAAACAGAAATCCTAGAAATGCAGGAAGCAATAAGCCAACTTAAAAACTCAATGAGAATACTACCAGCAGAGTAGAACACTTAGAAGACAGAACATCAGACAATGAAGATAAAGTATTTCAACTTGAAAAGAACATAGACAGCTCAGCAAGACTGTTAAGAAACCATGAGCAGAACATCCAAGAAATATGGGATAACATCAAGAGACCAAATTTAAGAGTCATTGGGATACAGGAAGGGACAGAGTTTCAAACCAAAGGAATGAGCAATCTATTCAATGAAATAATACGAGAAAACTTCCCAGACTTGAAGAATGAGACAGAACCCCAAATCCTAGAAGCCTACAGGACGCCGAATGTGCAAAATCATAAGAGACCCACACCTAGACACATTATAATGAAGATGCCCAACATACAGAATAAGGAGAGAATTTTAAAAGCTACAAGAGAAAGGAAGCAGATCACATTTAGGGGTAAGCCAATCAGGATAACAGCTGATCTTTCAACACAGACTCTGAAAGCTAGAAGATCCTGGAATAACATATTTCAAACACTGAAAGAAAATGGGTTCCAACCAAGAATTGTGTTTCCAGCGAAATTAAGCTTCAGGATGGAAGATGAAATTAAAACCTTCCACGATAAACAAAAG